GTCCGGCCTCCTCCATTTGGGGGCCTTCGCGGTGGTATTTTTTGCTCAAATTTCGGACCAGTTAACTTGCAAAAATCATTTGACGACCTTCCCGATTGAATTTTTGGCTGAAATTTGGTATGGATGAACTAGACTTGATGAGGAACCTACACAAAAAATTTGAGCAAAAAATACCACCGCGAAGGCCCCCAAATGGAGGAGGCCGGACGGGGCTCCGGTCAGGTATACCTGACCGGAAGAGTACTCTATATATATATATAATACTCACTCTGTTCTCTAATACTTGTCCCTCTTTCCATTTTGGGTTGTTTTCTAATATTTGTCCTTCTTTCCATTTTTGGAAAGTTTTTTCAATAAATATACCTATTTACCCTCATTCTCTTTCCTACATTTTGACATTTTCATTCTCTTTCCTACTTTTTCATTTAAACACAACCCACTAAACCTTTTACACTACCCCTAATATTTTCCTCTTAAAACTTGTGTCAAACCTTATAGGGCCAACTAATGGAAAACGGAGGGAGTATGTAAAAAAGACTACAATTTTATATTTTAATTCTTATATACAGAGTAATTTGTGTATTACTATAAATGTAAAAAAGTGTAATTAGTCTCTATTTGATTTGCATAGAAACTCTATTAAGGGTCTGTTTGCAACAGCTTCGGTATTAAAAAAATTGCTTTTTTTAATGGAATGGGCAGAAGTGATTAAATAAAAGTTGATAGTGTTTGAGAAAAAAGTGATTTTGAAAAGTAAAAGTTGGTAGTGTTCGGTAAAATAAGTGCTTTTTGTGTAATAGAAAAAGTAAAATCACTTTTGAAACCAAAGCCGAGAAAAATAAAAGTTGGTAGTGTTTGGTAAAATAAGTGTTATTTTTAAGCCAAAAGGTGAAAAGTGCTTTTTTAAAGCATTTGCAAACCAACCCTAAGCCGTCCTTAAGGATGCCAAAGCAGCCCATATTAATAAAACTCAAACTTTAGAAAGGACCTAGTTTTCCAGTAATTCGATCGACTTTGTGATATAGAGTGTAGAAATGTAAAATTGTTGTTGGATAAGAAAGTAAATAAGCTAGAGTGGTCTACAATGAGTGACATAATTTAAACATTTAAGATTATATACACTTTGAAATGAATTCATCGAGATGACCAAAATACCTATGTCGGTGAAGCGAACTCAAAGCAAAGGATTGAACTGTGACTTTGCTTTTATGGCAGAACTTTCTTTCTAAGACTCTGATAAAAGCATAGCATGTTTAGTTGCAGCCCAGGAGTTTTTTTAAATCTTTTTCATAAGTCCCACATGATAAGAACTTTTCTGGTACACCACCAACACATGCTCAAACTCCATATGTCTCACTACCTATATCATGCCTATCTTGGATCAAAAGAAATAGGCATGACAAATTTAAAGTATGAGCCAAAGTGTAAAATCATAAAATAAATTATAAAAATAATAAATCTCATTCTAAATAAGCTAGATAATTTATCCATAGAATTTTAAATAACTTCCAAGTAATTTTTGTATTCGAAGTGTTCTTATGAATAGAGTCTTAGGAATTATGATGATATTTAGATAGATGACTTACATATTTGCTCTAACATTTTTTTATAGTCAAAGACACATAATCACTTATTGTGTAGAGATTGTTAGAATAGTTTCCACATCATCACTTATTTGGCAACCTAAACAGCTAAGGAAGCAAATAGATAAGAATAGGAAAAATTGATGTTAATAATTGCACCATTATTCTATCTTCTTAGAGCATCTCCATTCATGATCTTAAAATAAATGGTTTTTCTATGACACATCATATTTATTAATTAAATTTTAAATAATCTCAAATCTTAAAACTCTCCATCAACCATGATAATCAAATAATTTAGTTTTTCTAGACCATGCATTAAATGAAATTTAACTACAACCTAAAATAATCCGGGATTCAAATCTTGATACCGGATTATCTTTTTCAATAATCTCTCTAAATAATCCCTCACTCACAATGATAATCATTAAAATAATCTTACACATCATCCAATTAACTCTAAATAATCTAAACAATGTGGATGCCCTTAAAACAATCTCATTTTAGATTAATCTGAAAATAATCCAATCTTTATAACATGTCTTCTAATAGTGGACCGTGGTGACCTGGTACCTCATAAACAAGTCAAATGCAATTAGCCGGTTTCATACGGAGTACTTTTCACCTGATATCCAATGGAGTAGTCTGCCCACTATCTTTATTATTAAGGAGTATTATCATCTTATTATTATTTTATTTTTATTATTACTACTTTCGTACTTCGTTCCCTAGCTACTTTCCTTCCTAACTTTCAAATCCCAAATCTTAAGATCAATAAATTGAAGAGTGTGAACAATTATCCTATCACCAGCTACACGGGGAGGGGAGTTTTAGAAAAGGTTTGACTCTTCAATTTTCAATTAACCTAACTGGCTACAATCGGTATACAACAGGTTGGGACCAAAAACAGCAGATAGGAAGGTAAAAGTCGGATTTTTTTAGATTATCCTTAGTAAGGATTGTTTTTAGAAGGACAAGTAAAGGATTATTAGCATCAATTTTTCCATAAGAATATTATTTTGTTTTTAATATAAGATTTACTTACTATACATAAACAAGACGTTTTCTAATTATAACATGCTGAGAACTCCAGTACCCATTTAAAAAATGGGGTACCGTACCTACCATTCATTTGATTGGTCCACATAGGTATATCATTTTTAATTTAGACTTAAATAATTCAACTGCAATATTTGGATTGGTCCATTTGAACAAAGGTACGGTACCTTTTGGGTACCATAGAATCTACCTTATAACATTTAGTTCAAATAGGACACTAATTTTTAGCAAATAACAGTGGGCAAATCTGTGGGAGTATCAAAAGAAATGATCCTCATTATTTCTCGTTAAACTGTTTATTAATTAAACTGTATGGCTGCAATCTCAACTTACTATACTAAAATAGCTTGATCATGATTAAAACATAAATTTGAAGAACAAAGATCAATCCCCAGTTTATGAGAAGGCATCAATGAAAAAATAAGTCATAAAATGTATGTGGAAGAAGAAAGATTTTGACTAAATGTAAATACCCTATTACTTTTTTTTGTTAATACCTTATCACATACCCTATTAGCCATTTAAAAAGTAATTATATTAATTATATTTTTAAGTTACATAAAACATGTTACTATTATTAATAACTAATCATAGTTTAGACGTTTTAAAATATTACAAATCATTTTTCATTTGTTGGTAACCAACAGTCATTACTTTTGTTAACCATGTATATGCAAAGCTGCTAATGAACTAAGCCAAAAGTTAAGAGATTCACCTTTATTTCAACATCTGTAAAGTTATTCCATTGTGATCATTTAGGCTCCGCCTTGGTGATATTAGAATCATATTCACTGGCCAGGTTGAAAGTTACTTCCGCTTCCAAACATCAACCTGATTTTTATCATCCAAATGTTGCAAAAATCAATCAGCAAATACATATTCTCGAAAAAATAACAACTACATACTTCGGTGCTAAGCGGGTGATCCTTGTTTCTATGTGAAAATAGCTAATAAATGTAGATATTATACATAATAAAGTAATAATAATATTCTAGATTTCTTGAAATAGCATCTTTTAAAACATTTATGTTATCCATTCAAAACGCTCGGATATAAAATAAAATAAAATAAAAACACATTTAAATATTGTGTGGTTAGCTATCTTAGATGTTAAGATGTGAGCACACTTATAATTGTTAATACATTAAACCCACAACACACAACTGACTATATAAGCATTTTATCAAACATGATATGTGCACAAAAATATTATGCTCGAAGACATAGTTAACATTTAACTGACAGCTAAATTGACATTTTAACATATTATGCCACAACACACAATTGATCATATAAGCATTTTATCAAACACACACAAGAAAGTTTAAATAAGAGTATATTTTATGAAAATATTATGATGAAAGAGTGACATTTACCTATAAAGTCCGCATATGCATTTGTGCGCTTGTCCCGGGTGAAGTTCGAAATGTATCAACTCACAGAAGAATGCTATGTAGTCAACATAGTCCATTTTCCTAAGAGTTTGAAAAGTGTGTGTTAGAGGCGGAATTTGAAGGAAATACAGGAAGATTTGAAGATAGAAAGTTTAATAAGTTTGTGAGAGGCGTGAAAGTAATAAGGATGTTTTCTTTTGAAGTGAAATTTTCTGGTCTGGTCTAATCTGTAACTGAAAATAATCCAAAAGATAACACGTATTTTCCGTTAAATTTTGTGTAGGAACATCTATTTTCGGTTAACCTCAAAGCCACAAATACTACGTTGTACACTTGTACTTGGTCATTACTCATTACTCCCAAATCATATTTTATGGATAAAAAATAACTCTTGCGGGGACGGTATTGATCTTTCAAAACATTAATCCCTTCCATTTCACTTTTTTTCCTAATATGACGCTGACTGGGAATAGAACTTCGAATCCAAGTCGAATTCAAAGCATTCACGGAGGATCATATCATCGTATAGCCCCCCTTTTTTTGCTTACAAGATCTCTCAGCTTTCCTCCGTCTTCGGTCTCCTCAGATTCTCAACCCATCTTCGATCGATTCCGGTCCCATTTTTAGGGGTGATTACAATTACAATAGGAGGGGTTGATTCTTCTTCAATTTCCAGGGATCCATCTTAGCTCATTATTTTCAGCCCCTGTTTTCCGATCGTAGATAGATAATGTGAAAGATCCGATCTTTCATCGAGCGATTGAACAGAAGATGTCAAGAAGGGGAATTGGGACTATCAGTTTTGATTGGCAGAATGTCAATCTTCTAGGACGCGAATACCGATTCGGCAGGATCATAGATTCATATTCAGTGGCCTGCGAAGCTTTTTCCGAACATCTGTTTCTCTGATCCTTAATTTCCTTCCCAGTTCCCTTTTTTCTTGCTTGATTCTTTGAAAAGTTTGAGTTTTCCTTTATAGTTCAGATGGATTTGGGGGCATCGGGGTTTGTTTTTCCTTTGAAAACTAACAGAAAGATGGAAACTTCTGATGACGACGTTGCTGAAGTATCTTCTGACAATCGATACGTTCGGGTACTCTCTTCTTCTTCCCTAAAAAATTGGCTTACTTCGAAACCTCATAGCTGAAATGAACTGATATTCCTTCGATAAATGCTTGTGATTGTGAATGTAGTAATCTTGGCATGCTTTTGATTGTGAACAGGATTACTAATGCTTAGTTTTGGCACTTTATGATTTCAACCTTTTTAAAATTGGGTAGTTGAGTAATTCGATGCTATAGTTTTCCAGGCTCCTTTAGTTGTTGTTATGTAATGTTTTGGCTTTGCCGGTGCCATCACATTTTATTTGTCTTCTTTTCTCCAGTATAATGAAATCTTGGGAAGAGGAGCATTTAAGATTGTGTAGGTTTCCTGCTTCCATCTCTTTCTTCCCTTCACCTGTGCATATTATAGATTTCTTTAAATTCTCAAATTATAACTTCTAGGAATTATGAAATTGACTTACTTTAAATGTGACATGTAGCTATAAAGCGTTCGATGAAATGGAAGGAATTGAGGTTGCTTGGAACCAAGTCAGTATTGATGAGGCAATGCAGTCATGTGCAAATATGGAGAGGTTATATTCTGAGGTTCACCTGTTGAGGACATTGAAACATGAGAACATCATAAAGTCACTTGACTCCTGGGTTGATGATCAGAACAAAACAATTAATATTATCACAGAGTTATTCACTTCTGGAAGCTTGAGGCAGTAAGTTATACATATGTAGATTGCATATAAATCACATTGTCTCATACTCATATTTCTTGGCTGCTTCACCATCCTTCCAAAATTATTTGTTTATGTTTTCCTTTTAATGATCTAATGTGTAGATATCGAAGGAAACATAAGGCTGCTGACATAAAGGCCATCAAGAATTGGGCTAGGCAAATTCTTAAAGGCTTAAATTATCTCCACAGTCACAACCCACCTATCATTCATAGAGACCTCAAGTGTGATAATATATTCATCAATGGGAATCATGGTGAAGTTAAAATAGGAGATCTAGGATTGGCTACAATAATGCAACAACCTACTGCAAAAAGTGTTATTGGTAAATCATTGATGTGAATTAGTAGCCTCTTTTTTCTTGAACCTTGTTGCTTATTCTCTGAAGTTTTTGTGGAATAATATGTAGGAACTCCTGAGTTCATGGCACCTGAGCTTTATGATGAAGAGTACAATGAACTTGTTGACATTTATTCATTTGGTATGTGCTTGTTAGAGCTCATAACACTTGAATATCCCTACAGTGAGTGCAGAAATCAAGCACAAATCTATAAAAAGGTTACTTCGGTAAGATTCATAAGTTGCTAGAGATTCATATAAGGAGGTGTCTTTTTGTGTCCAACTAATTTCCCATCTAAATATTCTAATATGTATTTATAGGGTATAAAACCTGCAGCTTTGGATAAAATTGTGGATCCTGAATTAAGGCAGTTCATACAGAAGTGCTTGGTACCAGCATCTGAACGTTTAAGCGCTTCACAGCTTTTGAAAGATCCATTTCTTTCATGCGCCACTACTAGTTCAAAGGAACCCCTGCCCGACGTCATGCAGAACTCAAATGTAATGTCGAAGTCTGACACTCTCTCAATGGAAATAGACCCCACCTCTAGAAAGTTATCCAATGTTGCTTATGTAGAAAGCATGACTGAAATTCCCCAAACTTCCGAGTTTCTAAGATACAATGGGAAAAACGAGTTTCAGTTGAGAGGGGAGAAAAATGATGAAAGTTCCATTTCCTTCAGTCTGCGCATTACTGACAATAATGGTATGTTGTGCTTCTTTAAAGCATATATATGCAATTAGAATTAATTACCTAAATAGATCAAAAAGTGGAACAAGAGCACAAATAGGACTCCATGTTTTTTATTCCCCCTAGTAGGACTATTTATGTGTAGTTGGACAAATATACCCTTGAGACTTTTGAAATGTCTTATTTAATAATAAAATCATAAAAAAACGTAAAAACATATTAAAAAAATTATGAAATATTTATAAAATGAAATTTTTTTAAAAAAAATAGAAAAAAAATATAAAAAAAAAAGAAAAAATGTAAAAAAAAAAGTCGCCACCTCTGCCACCCCCAGCACCACCAGCATCTATCACCGGATAAAAATCTGCCAACATTTTTAGTAATGTCGTAATAATGACAAATTCAATGAGAATTTTGGCATTATGATGAGTAATAATGCCATTTTCTTGGCATTTTAAGAAAACAATAACATTTTTTACAAAAAATGGCAGAATTTTCACCGATAAGAGGTATCCATAATTTTTATATTTTTTATCGGTTTTTACTATTTTTTATTAATTTGTTTAAAAATAATTTGCCAACAATTTTAGTAATGCTATAATAATGACAGATTCAATGAGAATTTGGCATTATGAAGAGTAATAATGCCATTTTTCTTGACATTTTCGGGAAAAAATAATTGTTTTTATAAAAAGTGGCAGATTTTTTATCGATCAAAGGTGGTGGTGCTGGAAGGCGGTGGAAAAGGTATCCATATTTTAAAAAAATTTAATGGATTTTTACTACATTTTGTATTATATTGTAAAAAATAAATAAATAAAAATTACTTTTTTAAAATATATTTGTTTAGTTTTTTATTATTTTTGTATGATTTTTTTTTAAATTACAATTTTTTATTATTTGATAAGATTTTATTATGAATTATAACATTTCACTATAAAATAATACCCTTAGGGGCATTTCTGGTAGGAATGAATTGTTTAGTCAATTAGTCTTATTTGGGATGGTTAAAAATGTAGTGGTCCTATTTTCGCATTTCAGGTTATCTGTAGTCCTATATAGAGCAATTACTAATGCAATTATTGAGAAGATGTCTTAGATCCCATTTGGTCAGGCCTAGAATGGTTGAAGTGCTAACAATATGTCTGAAATGGCTGGACATGTTCAATTATGTGCAATATTATATAAAATTCTCTTTTTTATTTCTTTTGAAAGACAATAATACCTAAAACAACTTATGCATTCCTTTTTAAAAATTCAAACGTTTAACCAGTGTGATGAATGAAAAATATGACTTATTAACGGGGATCAAACTCAGACATCTTGGGAGTGCTGCATGAGTAAATGAACTTATCTTAGAGGAAGGAAGGAATGAATGTTCTTATTGATTTGTGGGGATGATGTTCTTGGTGATTTTCAAGTTGTAAGCTCTTAAACTCTTCTAAGTTGTAAGCATTTTGGTAATGGAATAGTGGAGATCATTTTTGGAGGTGCGTTGCCCATTGTTATGGAACAACAATAATATCGATCCATACCCTTTAATTGCCCTTTTGTGTCCAAGAGTGCCCTTTAATTTAGTGTTTTGATTGATTAAAAAAACAAAAACAAAAAAAACGGGAAAACGACTTACAAACGGGCACTTAAAATAACTTTACATTTTGCATGTATTCTTTTGAACAGGTAAAGTGAGGAATATCCATTTCATGTTTTACCTTGATCACGACACTACTGTCTCAATTGTTGAGGAGATGGTTGAACAACTTGAGTTGCCAAATGAAGATGTGGCCTTAATAGCCGATATGATTGATTGCTTAGCTTCAAAAATTGTACCAAGTTGGAAACCCTCATCAGGAACTGGCCAAGAATCTACTGAGCAGCAGCGTATCTTTTCTCATTCACCGTCAGAAGGAGGGAATAATATTAACAATATTGAAGAGTTATTCAAGGTGAAGTTATCTTCTTTACATGATGATGGAGTATCAACCACACTTAGTGAGCATAAAAAATACTTAACATCGATCTCCTCAACTGGGTCATGGGATGCCATATCTAATGATATGAATGGTGTGTGTGTTTCCTCGCTCTCTGTAGCTGACATGGATGATGGTAAAGAACAATGTTATGATCTAAAGATGGAGATTGATGCCATTGACATGCATTATCATCAATGCTGTCGAGAACTTATGCGGATGAGGGAGGAGGCAATTGAAAGTGCTAAACGGAAATGGATCGCAAAAAAGATTTGTGCCACTTGATGTGATGCCTTCATTCGTACTAGAGTTTGTGTAGTTTGTGTTACTTCTGTTGGTTTTCTTTCTACGAAAAGGAGGAAATATTTTTGCTTCCTCCTGATTATACAAATTGTTGTGTTTTATTTTCGCCTACCGCCCCGTGCCTCCCAAATTTGTTTAAAAAAATATAGAGTATATACTTGTTTTTGCCATTATTGACAATTGGCAGTTAGTTTTTTCAAGAGAATGAGAATGTTCTCTCAAACTATATTTAATTGTATGTGTACATAAATAAACATTTTCAAGTTTTCACTTCAAATAATTTGTATTTTGTATGGAAACCGTTTCTCACTTTATTTAACTGGATTTGAATGTGCTTGTGAACATGTAATGGTACTTGGAGGTGGACAAGGTTTTGGGGACAAACAGTTATCTAGGCCAAAGCTTTGTTTCCTGTTAGTTTTAAATGATCCCGCATTGTTTCCTGTTAGTTTAGTTGCACTATTGTGCCCCTTCAACTTTGATATTTTGTTGGATGCTCTTTCATTTCATTGGCAATTACTACAACTTTTAATATCTTTTGCTAAGTCAATTGTTTTTTACGCTAATCAGTGCAATTCAAGTGTACATCAGTCCTTCAAACTCTATGTTTTGCACTCAACTCCAATTGTTACTACTTAATGTAACAATATTTCTGAAATATAGCACTGACTTGTGATATCAGAATGCTCACTATGTATATTGCTTACTATTGTTCTAAATCTTGTACTATAAAATACGGAGTATATATCAGTACTCATCAAAACTTCATTGAGATTTTTATTTTTTTCATCTCTCTGGAAAAGATGCACCAATATATAGAAATAAACATCCCGCCGCAGTCATTCTAACAAGACAATGGTAAAACGAAAAATAACACAATTAACGGATAATGAGTAACAACCATACTTGAGCATAAGTAAAATGTCATCGCACTATATTAATTAAACAACTTGTATGACGTGAAACATTAACTTTCAACGTCAAACTAGTCAAAAATCACAATTCAAGTGTACGTTGTATCATAAAACGATATCATAGTTCAAGATTATAAATAAATTATAAATAAAATCTGAAATCCTCAGCCTCGTGACAGCATGTTTGCTTGAATAAAAAACAAATGAAATAATCAAACATGTAGCATCGCAATCTCACATCATTGATAGCGGTATCGGGTTATTACAAGTCTTTTGGTTATGGTCATGGTGCTTGCATCTTATGCACTTTTGTCTTGATCCAAATTCACCAATAGACCGAATTCTCTTTGACTTCGGCCTCCCGGCGGTTCTTGTTTTGCATAGAGGAGGTTTAACCTCCCACCTCCTATACTCCTCGGGCAGTTCATCATCTGTATATGACCCAATAGGATGAATTAATAATTCCTGGATATGCCCACGCCATGCGCTTGTCTTGTAATAAGCTGACACATAGTCATAACTCATAACATGATAGCCCATTCAGGTGTCCTACAAGATCAACCGCATGGACACACAAAATCTTCTAACTGAAATTCTTGGCAACTGCATCTCCTTTCCTCAAGATTCACTAAAAATGTCTTACATGACAAGTCAATCACTTCTGCGCTGAAACTTGTACTTGGTTTCACCTGCATAGAAATTTACCCATATGAAACTTATCTCTCATATACTCTATAAGAGTAGCGATGGGATACTCTCGTGCTAATCGATCCATAGAATTCATGGATTCAACGTTGTCGCAGATTGAGTACTTTCGCACATTAGCCACAAGTTCTTCATACGTTGTCGCAGGATTAAGGACCATACCATGTGTCATGTGTGGATTTTGTTAGGAATACCTTTTTTTCATCCCAACCGTCCCCTACCAACACTGTCACTAACAATGGTTCCATGTTGCTGCAAAAAAAAAAAAAACATTTGTCAACTGATAATAACTTGGAAAATCTTTTGTTAGTTACCTTTTTTTAATGACTATTGCTCATAGTATCTAAACTTAAAAAAATTGTACTGGATGACAAGATGCACTGAACAATTACTTGCACATTGAATACATTACTACTATCGCAATATAGTATCTCTTACAAATCAATTACTTACCGTCACAAATGGTACGCCGAACACACATTATGTATTCATTAGTCAACCTCAATTACTTGATCCTCCATTCATCACTTTACTAAACAAGCGTCACAATGTGATTTGTTCGCCTCCGTTATATAATTCAATCATTACTACCGTCACCTTACCGCAGAATGTCTATCACACATCTTACACATTCACCCGACACCAACTGCATGACTATCATTTGATGTACTACAAATCATCTTCTATACCCCCAATTCATGACTGCATTTGGACTTTCCAACGTAATAGATAAAACTAAAACCAAATCACTACTACAGTATCATGACCAATGCATCTCTACCACACCACAAACAATCAGTTCGCTTAATTAATTACTACTAAGTCTACAGTATCATGTCATGAACCAAATCATTACCACATGCATGACTAATAAGTCACGTAGGAAATCATTAATACAGTTTCACGATCATGTCAGGATCATTACCAACAATACATAATTAACTCCCAGAACTCTAAACTTAATTACTGGTAGTACCAGACGAATAATTACTACACAATCACGACCAAATTCCACTCTACCAAATTACATTCATCTTTTTTGATTCATTACCCAAGACGCCATTACTAACAACTCACGTTCTTAAATTCATGATCGTGAATCACAACTCGTGCTTTAAATTCATTTCAACAATCTTAATTAAAGGAATAACATCAACGGTTAACCAAAGAACATCATATTCATGCTCAAGTAATTAATAATCAGAGTACCAAACCTGCAAAATCTAACTCTTCTTCACCTGGGCAATCTCAAAGAATTGCCCCTCGCCTTGTGGTGTATTGCTTCGACCTACGAATGATTTGCCTCTCTCTCCAGAACGTTATGAATACACCTTTCATACTTTACTTGTTTATTCGCTAATGAATACACCGGAATTCCTGAATTTTGGCCGTTTCCATAACCGTGTTGGGGCACATAGGTAATTTCGCTGCATTACTAAAAATCTGGCGTACGTGTTTCTTAGTTTTAGTCATACTAATGTAAACCCAAATAAAAGTAGTAATATTATACTTCATATAGAGTTGCGTATACTTATTTCATATGCAAGTTTGAGTTATCAATCTCAAGCCCATTCAAAGTTTAGAGGATTTATATTATTTCTCCTTAAATCTTGTTTTTCAAGTTCTATGTATCTATAGATTCAATCTTCCAAGTAATCCCCATTCATCGTTCGCTCCAAATTGCCTCCTTTCAAGCGATTTACATTGGAGTATGGTGTTAAGATTTCAGACCGAATGAAAAATGAGATAGATACCTGGTGAAGGACTAGAATAAATTAAATGTCGAAAAGGTAATTTTCTTTAACTGTTTTGAAATTTTCAAGTTCTGAGTGGAAGAATACTGAAGTTTTTGTTTTGACTGTTTTTTTCAATCAGAACACTTTTTGATAAGGGACTAATGGACTATCTCTGATTTTGCCCTCTCCATTGCTTTTCTTAAATGTACTCTATCTAGGAATCTGGTATGGGCCTGGTTAAGGTCTCAACATATGACAATGATGTTATTATGGATAGTTTGTCGATTCAAAGTATTTGACTCTCATGAATCATGATTTTATTTCATGTGTTCATTGTTTTTCAAATGGAACACTTTTTTTGTTTCATTTTATTGATTTCAATAACGACAAATTATAAATTATTTTTAATTACCATTCTTGTTATTTCTCATTGTGTTCATTTTAAATACCATTCTTGTATTTCTCATTGTTATATATAATGATACCTTAGTAAATTGTTGATAGTGAATTCACTACATGTGCATATTATAGAAAAGAGTTTATTTTATACTCAAAGAGTATAATGCTTAAAAGAAATGAGCACACACAAATGAACATTTGAGAACATTAGAGAATGCAAATAAGCTTTTGAATTTTTTATGCTAGTTTGTAAGTTATGTATCCTCATTGGTTATTGGTGTTATGTTTATTTTAAAATGTCATATCAATGCATATTTCAAAAGTATAATATTACACTAGATTTACATATTGTAATTCATAGGAGGTTATTCAAAATATAATTTGAGAAAATTGTACAAAACAGAAAAACTAAAAACAAGAAAGTAAATTAAAAGACATAAGAAGAATGATCAGATACTCAATTGCGGAGTTCCAATGTTCAATACACATAGTCTCGATTCTCAATATATTACAAAACACGATACTCAATGAAAATATTTTAATGCTTAAATGAAGCTTTAAAATTTTATATACTCAATTGTGAAGTTTCAATTCTCAATACATAAATCTAGATGTTCAGTAGTAGAGAGCACAAAACTCAATGATGATGTTTTGAGGCTTAAATGAGGTTTTGAAATATTGTACACTCATTGTAGAGTTTCAATGTTCAATAGAGAGAGATTTTCATATCAATTCATATTTTAAAAGTAAAATATGAAGTTAGATTCACATATTGAAAAATAACTTAAGAAACTTTTATTAAAGAACTAATAAGAAAGAAAAAGTAAATTGGAAGATATATAATAGAGATAACGATGCTCAATTATAGACTCGTAAGCTAAAACAGAATAGCCTTGATGCTAAGGGAGTGTTTTCTAAAGATTAAGGGAGTGTTTGCGATTGCTTCTACTTAAAAAAATGATTTTTTTAAAGTGATTTTGGAGAAAGTACTTAATAATAAAAGTTGGTAATGTTTGAGAAAAAGTGGTTCTGAAAAGATAAAAGTTGGTAGTGTTTGATAAAACAAGTGTTTTTTGTATCATAGAAAAAGTGAAAAGCAGTTTAAAACACTCTTCTATCTGCTTCCATCATTTAGCTTTTAAGTGATTAATTTAAGCAGAAATTGTTATTTGTAAACACTAATTTCAATTTTTTTAAGCCAAAAACTGAAAAGCATTTTATTTAATCTTTAGCAAACACTCCCTAAAATAAGCGTTTTTTGACTTAAACAAATGTTATAATCAGTGTTTTCAAACACCAACTTTTACTTTAAAAAAAAAGTTTAAAGTCAAAAAGTTAAAAGTTGGTATTTGGTGGCTTCTAACTACTTGGTATTCGTAAATAAATCAAATATCAAGTATAATTATAATGTCTGCACAACCCAAAATACCCTCATGGCCTTATCTCTGTCCTATCTCGTTTAATTCTATCACATCTTAAGGAGTGTTTGGGTTTGCTTAAAAAAAACGCTTTTCAGCTTTTGGCTTAAAAAAAGTTGAAAAGAGTGTTTTCAAATGACAACTTCTGCTTAAATTAATCACTTAAAAGCTAAAAGCTGGAAGCAGGGAGAAGGGTGCTTTAAACTGCTTCTCACTTTTTCTATTACACAAAAAGTACTTATTTTACCAAACACAACCAACTTTTACTTTTCCAGAATCACTTTTTTCTCAAACACTACCAACTTTTATTATTAATTACTTTTCCCAAAATCACTTTAAAAAATCATTTTTTTAAAGTTTAAGCAATTGCAAAACACTGCCTTAGTCTCTTCACTTCTCTTTCCTATCCCAAAAAACCTTCCATGTATATGATGCAAGTTCTTCGACGAAAGAATTGGGTGCTGCCGGCTTCTCTTCTTGCACATCCAATTAGGGAAGCTGTTAATAAATTAAAAATGGGAAGAGTCTTCCGATTCCGACCGACCTAATTCTTTGGCAACAATATTTTGAGGATATAATGATATATATACGTATTTCCACTGCATATAATTTATGTAAAGGAGCTTCAAAAAATCATAATTTATGTAAGGGCTTTCGTGTACTTTAATTCAATCATACAGTTTATATAATTAATGATTTATAATTATTGTACATGTATACCATTTGATTACTCTTTCCGCACTTTGAAGATGAAGAGGATATTTGAGATGGGAGTTCTATGGTGCACCCCTTAATTTGATTGTACCATAGGAGGCAAATAATATTGTATCACATGGAAAATAATTAAAATATATATGGATTTAATGTCCATGTTGCATTGTTTTATTTGCCTGCATAAGAAAGTGTACCATACATGCAAAATATAGAGGTGCACCATAGAATTTCCCTATTTAAGATTGATGCTCTGTAATTTACTTTTTCCACTATTATAGTTTAAGAGAGCAGCAAATTGAAAATCTTTTGTCATACACTAAGTATGAAGGCACTTTACTTCTTAAATAGTTAATACCTTTAAAACTTTGCAGTGCAAGTATTTTCAGGTGACTCGATGTGTATGAGTGAGAAGCCAATGGTGTTTGAAGAGTTGTGGTCGTGAATAAATCGGTCTGGTTCGATCTGGTACCGGTTCTCATTTTACGAGAACCGGTCATGACATGGTTTGGAACCGGTACGGTTCGGTTCGGGACAAAAAATTTTGAACCATTTCGAACCCCGTTATTAGGTCCGGTACTATATCGGTCTGGTCTGGCACCATGCTGGTTCAGTATTTTTGTCCACCCCTAATCATACATTAAAAATCATTTTTTATCAAACATTCCAACTTTAACTTTTCCATCTAAGTCACTTCTATACCAAAACACTACCAACTTTTACTCGAAAATCACTTTGTGCAAAATCACTTTTTAAAAGTAGAAGCAACCGCAAATCCTGAAATGTAATTGGTATTTAATTTAATTATCCAATTATAGTTTTTAATTAAAATTACAAAAAAAAAATGGCAGAGGTTGTATTGTTCCAACTTCCAATATCCATATTCGGAAGTTTGGAACTTGCAGTCGCGACCCTTCTAGAAAGACGACAATCAGTCAATCGGTGGTTCCCGGCTGTCAGATTGAAAATGGATCGGGTGCGACCCGGAGAGCCCGACAGCTTAGAAGCTTCACTGATGCAATTGATCAACGATCACCATGATAAGTCTCTCAAGCTCCGGGCTTTTACGGGTTAGTCACCATCTAAAATTGTTTCTTTTGCAATCCTGGTATAATTTTGTGGGTAGGGTTCAGAGTTTTGCTTTTTGCTTCTGGCATTGAAAAATTGATTAGAGCAATCGAAGAAAGATGCGGTTCAGAGCGCGACTCGGGTTTCGGATCTTCTGGTAGACGCCGTGAACGGCGGTGTCCAAGAGGCTTACGCCATCGAGAAAAAAATCGAAATGGAAATTCGAGCTTTGGCGGCCTCCATTATGCGATTCGGAAAGCAAACGGATCAGTGGCTAGCCGCTTCTCACGCTATCAACACCGCAATCAAGGTATTCATTCACTTTATCCATTTTTTCGCTTATAAGGTTCATTTTTTATGTAGACTTGCATATATTCGATCGTTTCATAGCTATACATGGATATTTCGTTTTTTCTCAATTCACATATCAAACTGTTGAGCTCCTCTAATTGGATAAATGTGTTTCAATCTTTGGCAGTTTACACTTCAAACGAGTGAGAGAAGCCTGTAAAGATTTTCTTCAACCGCCCATAGTAACTTATTAGAAGTGTTTTCATAGCTAGTCATGAAACTTTAGGGGTGTCCTCAATTAGGATTCCATAGGATTTTGAAGGATTGAGATTTTAATACATAGTAGATGTTTATGGAATATTGGAATTGAGTAGAATATGTTAGATTCCATGGAATTGAAAATCATTCTGAAAAGTAATTCATAGCAGCTTCGACACCCATGAAGCCTCAACTTCTCTCTCACTGTTTGCCTGATTTGCCATGACCTGACTTCGCCGCCGCAGGATACTTCTCCGGTCTGTCTCCCATTAGGTCAGTGCAGCTTCCGCAGCCAAAGAAGGAGAGGAGATGGATGGGCAACATATATCCAACGAGGTGGAATCGTCGGAGCTCTCATCCTAGACTTCCAATCCCTTTAATGTAGCCGGTGAGCTCGTTCTGGCGAGTCACCTGGAAAAGTATTGCTTCTCCCTTTGCTTCTCCATGGGAAATCCTTTGAAATATGAAGGGAATGCAGAGATTTTGAATCGTATTCTTTCCTTTGCATTTTAGCTTTGAAATCCATAGAAATCTTAGCAATCCAAGAAAAAGAATCCATGGACATTTTGAGGACAACATATTTTGCCTGATTCCACGAGACTCCACATTGAGGACAGTGGATTTCTATGAACTTCAACAATCTGAAGGGAATTTCAACAATCCTTTAAAAAATAATGGAATCATAATCTTTGAGAATTTATATAGCTACGTGTGGTATCATGAAATCAGGAAAAAGTCGCAGCATATAAGAGGTCTGATCTTTTCCCAAGAAAATACATGCTTGAATATAGCACCAAACTTTGTTAGCAGTTCTCCTAGAAAATAAAAGGTGAGGATTGACTCCTACATGTCACACCAAAAACCTACTAGCGAGAAAAAGAAAGCTATTTTATTTTTCTCCTTTGGTGATAGGGTGGGATTTGAATCTTTGAGATGCTTATCTAAACACCCTCGTATAGATCAATATTACCCTCCCATAAAACTATCCGGCCTCTGGGACCCTATGGATGGGACACATCCTCTTTTTGAGTAAGTGGTGTCTATTTTCTCTTCAATCAGTTTAATTTGGCCGAAGCATTTATCTGTTACCTATACACAATTAAAGTTCAAATAGTGAAGGGTTAGCGTGAAATATGTTTGTGGTGCATCCTTTTTTGATGGGGTGCATCCTTTGTTTGTGTAAGTGGAGGCCCCCTATGGATGGGGTGCATCCCTTTTTCCAGTAATTGGTGTCTATTTCTCTTCAATCAGCTTGATTTGGCTGAAGCATTTATCTGTTACCTATGCATCATCATACACAATTAAAGTTGAATTCCTTGAGGTGTTAGCATGAAATCTGTTGTTAGGTTGTGTAAGTGGAGACCCCCTAAGGACTTCATTTTGAGTAAGTGGTGTCTATTTTCTCTTCAATCAGTTTGATTGGGCTGAAGCATTTATCTGTTACCTATACATCATCATACACAATCAAAGTTCAAATCAGTGAGGTGTTAGCATGAAATCTGTTGTTAGGTTGTGTTTGCGTATTAATCGTATTATTAGTATAGATACTAGATAGTGTCATTATTTTAAAGCTGGACTGATGGACTCCATGAAGTTGAACTTTTGATTTTTGGCAAAAAAACATTTCAAACCCCTGATATAGTGTCACTAATAATTACGATTTGGATCATATTTTCATATAGAAAGGGTGCACAAACGCAGTGAGTGGCTTCATGTGTGTTTGAGATGTGCAGGAAATAGGAGACTTTGAGAATTGGATGAAGACAATGGAATTTGATTGCAGAAGTATCACTACTGCAATCTGCAACATTCACCAAGCATAGTATATCAATGATAATTTGATACCAAAATACTATGTCTCTTATTGATACCTAATTGGTATAAAAACATGATTTTTTGTTGATACTAATAGTTAGTGAGTGTATGTATAGTGTGCACATGATCTGCTACCGAATTAGGATGTTTCTATTTAGATTAAAATTTTCTAATTTGATTCGATTTGTTTAATTTTGATCTGAACTGATTTGATAGTACGATTTATATGTATTTTATTATTGATCTAATCTATTTAGGTCTGGCATGATTTGAAATGATATTCTATGAGAAATATATTAGTCTATTTAAAATTGTCCTTGATCCTCTTCAAAACTCAGGGGGGTGTATTCAATATAGATTGTTGTGGACTTTTTTTAATCCATGGACTTTTAAATCCATAGACTTTTTTATTAATGAATTATATGGACTTTTAAATCCATGGATAAGTTTATTGACTTTCAAAAAGTCCATAGACTTTTAAATGCGGACCGCCACGGCTGGTCGTCAAAATTTTCACCTAGATTGTCGCTACCGATATGCCTGTGACCTGTCCGCATCCATCACCGGAGTTCCACGATGTCGTCATCGGACTGACGCGTCACCAACAAAATGGCTTTGGTTGTGAAAGGGAACTAGGGACAATTAATTATATTAATTAATTAATTAAGTTAGGGGTGAATATGTAATATTTATTCCCATTTAAGAAAAACCAAACATTTAATCATACTTTAAGAATAATGCTATGTTTTAGTCCTACCGTGAGTGATTTCCTCTATATAATACGGAGCACGATAAGAAATAAATAAGTAAGTAAATAAATAAATAAATAAATAAATAATTAAATAAATAAATAAATAACTAAAATAAATAAATAAATAAATAAATAAATAAATAAATAAATAAATAAATAAATACATAAATAAATATATAAATAAATAAATAAATAAATAAATAAATAAATAAATAAATAAATAAATAAATAAATAAATAAATAAATAAATAAATGAAAAAATGTAATTGATATAGCAACACAAAGTTCTACAAAAATAAATGAAGCATAAGAATTCAAATTTATTTTTATTAAAAAAAACTCAAAGTTTCAAGAATGCTTGAGAATTTTGGCCATTTTATTAATGATTAAGAACATTAATCGTTACACAAGCGTTACACTCATTGCTACATGTGGTACAAGCATAAATGCAATCGAGCTTTTCTACTTGGTGATTGTTTTCTTTTAACCTCTATCTTGTAAAAACTTGTATATGTATTTATGGTTATATATTTATTAATTTGAAATTATATTTTTATGTGTGAAGCGATTTAACGATGAAAGAAAGTGATAGTTAAAATATTTATTTTCTTAATGGTTAACTGATGATGTATCAGAATTGCATTAATGTAATACTATCGATTCTTATATCGGTTCTTCTATAAACTTCTAGAATCGAATCAATATAGGATTACTGAATCGAGGGGGGTGGACTGGGGACGGCAAGCTAAAGAAGAAGAAGAAGAAGAAGAACGGAAGGAGAGGGGTGGGCGAGCTGGGTTGAAGAAGAAAAAAAAGAAAGATTGAAAAAGGTGTGGATTGGCTAAAGAAGAGTAGAGTTGGGGGAGGGGGGAGTAGGCTTGGCCTGAGGCCGGTCTGACTGGCCCGGGACCCGGCCCGCCACTGTGCGGGCCCGACCCGGCCTGTTGGATCGGTACCGGTACCGGGCCTAGGCCCGACCCGGGGGGATTAATTGGGGCGGTTCCGGAACTGCATATTTGGGGACCAGCCCGAGCCTTATTTGTTTTCTTTTTTTTTTTTTTTTTTTGGGGGGGGGGGGGGGGGTTGGGCCTATGGTAGGTAGGCTGGGTGTTTTGGAGGGGTTTGGGGGGTGAGGGTGGGAATATATAAGAAAACCGAAAAAATGAACCAGCCCGGCCCAACCCGGAACTGGCCCGGCCCGATACCAGTAGACTCCCGGGCTGGTCCCGGGCCTTACCCAAAAAATTCAAAGCCCGGCCGGGCCCGACTCGGAACAGAAACCGGGTCTGGCCCGGTCCATCCCTAGGAGGGTGGGGAGGAATGGGGTGGGACGGGATGAAGAACCGATATAAGAAAAGTCCACGGAAATCTTTGGTGAGGAGAAGAGACAATTGCAGAGAATTTTTGCACTAAAAATGAGTTAAAAGTCCACGAGAATCCATGATTTTAGAAGTCAATAAGAATGAATGGAAATTTGAATACGCCTAGACTTTTATAAACTTTTAAAAGTCCGCATTGAATACACCTAGACTTTTGTGGACTTTTAAAAGTCCACATTGAATACACCTAAACTTTTAAAATCCATGGACTTTTAAAATTTTGCCACTAAATCCTAATACAATACACCCCCCTCAATGTTGTGAGTGCTTTTTTCCTTATATTTTCTGATCTATTATACTCCGTAGTATTGTTCTATCAAAGGTGTGAATGCTTTTTTTTCTATACTTTCTACTACGTAATATATTACGGAGTACAATATTTTTTTTTATCAATGATGTAAATGCTAAAATATTTATTGTTCTATGAATGACATTGTTTGACACGGTTTGACCAGGGCCGTCTAATGAATTTAGAGGTCCCTGTTCTAAATAAAAATTTGAGGCCCCACGTTAATATAAAAAACTACAAAATATGCTCGATGTAAATTCTTATTATACTCAAATCAACTGAATACTCATTAAATAATGTAATTAAAGAATTACATGTTGTAACTTTCCCTTTCAAATAATTAATCTCTATGTTTTTTGTAAATGGTTTTAGTTTATGAGGGCATTATTATCGGGAGTAGCCGAGTAGTGGAGTGTGACTTTAAATTAGTTGCAGTCCATATCCATATGCACTATTACATTATATAATTAATTAATATGAGTGACCTAAAAATAACAATACTATCGTCTTATAAATATTGGGCCCCATGCAAAGTGAGGCCCTGTTCGAACATGCTAAAAAATGGCCCTGGGTTTGACACTGTTTTGACACTATTTTGTTTACCAAATAAGGAAATAGGACTTTTTTTATGGGCGGCTCGAAAAAGAAAGTGGTATGTTTGTTTAGGGATGGAGGGAGTAGAAACAAAATTAAAAAGTAGCAATAATATGGAGGTGGACAAAAATGTCCAGGCTTGGAGAAACCCTAGTGGGCCTGGGACCGGTTCGGTTCCTATACAAAATATCAAACTTAATAACGATTCGATTCTTATAGATTTTTTATAGAACCAAGATGGAACCGAACCATTCTTAACGTCTTGGTTCTTGTCATTTAACGGTTACTAGTTTTAAATTTTTTTGTTAAAGTTGTGTCAAAAAAACATTAAACAATTTAAATTACAAGAAATACAAATATGTATCATCATTTTAAACCTCAAATGTTGAGTTTAAAACATAAATAAATACTAAATTGGAAATTTTATAAATGAAACAAAATAACATATTTACTACAATCAATAATCATGATCTTTAATCAATCACCTAATTAGTTAGCAAAAGGTCATTCATTTCAAAGGATCACGAGCAGAGCACTCCATTCCGTCCATCTGGGCCTTAGAGGAACCCATTAAAATAAATAACAATGTTAAATACTTAAATAATTAAACTAAAATAGTGGGTGTAGTATAAAAATAAATAAGTAAATATACATTAAAATATACTACCTCCGTCCCAAAAAATTGTCACGCTTAGCTTTTTGGGATGTCCCAAAAAATTCTTCCTATTTCCCTTTTTGGAAAGGTTTGTGTGGCTAGCATTCATTTATCTTTTTCTTACTCAACCACAACCATACATTTCCACTTTATTCCGACTTTCTTAAACTCTGTTCCAAGTCAAATCGGGAAAAAATTTTGGGACGAAGGGAGTATATGCTAATAAGAATTATATATATATTTTTAATTATTATTGATGAAAGTAAATCCACCGGAAAATAATAATAGATAGCCAAAAATAATTAAAGCACTCTGAATAATATTTAGAGAGATAAATGTATGTAGTATATTCAATGTATTGAGCTTGATCGTTCTTTCAAGTGTTGCATGAATTGATAACACAAAATTGGGACAACAAATATTCGGGCGCCGTGGTTGCCATGCCTGAATTGACGTGCCACCATTATGTGATTTGTGGGATTAATCATGAGTTGACCCGTGATCTTCGAGATTTGTTGTTGATCACGTAGCTTCTTGGAAATAACATCATGCATGTGCAATGGTCTAAGCGGTTGTGCACCACGCATGTAGAGTCGCACCATGTGATGCTCAACATGCCATGTCCGAATCCCATGGTAGAGTTAAGACCGTGTCCTGCTAAGCATGTCATGTCTAAGCCTCATTGTAAAGATAAGACCCCGTCGCGCTCAGCACACCTTATCCTTGTAAATGTAACTCCATGTTTCTCATCTCGAGTATGTTGATCATGTATTTCCTTGGGCCTGGTGTCCATGTTCGTCTCGTCCATCTTATCTACGGGTTCAACCGCATTCAATCGAGCTTACCATAATACCATATTGGGCCGGTATTTGTGTCACCAATTATATATACTAATTCTTAACAGTTGCAGGTACACTTTTTTTTCCAGAAACGAAGAATCGACCCGTTAATAAAAAAAATAGAAACCAAACCTGTAACAAGTACTCTCTCCATCCCCCTAATATTGTCTCATTTTACCTTTTCGGGAAATTCCACTAAAATTGTCTCATACTAGTTACATATTTCGTAAAGTTTGTGTAGCTCTAAATTATTCTTACTTTATTCAGATTTTATTTCTACTTTTTCAATTAATATCAAGCACAAACCCACTTTTGTAAATAATTGTGTCACCCTTTTATAAGAGGGACGGAGACAGTAACTCATAAATGTTGGAACCGACTCAAACCAGCTCATAACAGTTCGGTTTGATTCATTCTCTCGTTCAAGTCCCTCTAAAACCCTAGCATTATTATTGGACAAAATAATGAAATATGGTCGCCAACTGCCTAGCATTATATATTGGGGGTGCGAACCCCTAGTTCTCTAACAGCAATGGCTATTCCGTTCTCAGGTCGTGGAGGCAGCGGCGGCGGATTTAGGGGCGGCAGAGATGGAGGACGAGGAAGGGGCAGGGGAGCATTCAGTGGAGGCAGAGGCAGAGGGAGTGCTATGAAGCGTGATGGAGGTAGAGGTGGTGGAAGAGGCGGCGGAAGAGGTGGGGGAAGAGGAAGAGGACGTGGAGGAATGAAAGGAGGGAGTAAGGTTGTTGTGGAGCCTCATAGGCACGAGGGAGTGTTCATTGCGAAGGGGAAGGAGGATGCACTTGTTACTAAGAATCTGGTACCTGGTGATTCTGTCTACAACGAGAAAAGGATTTCTGTTCAGGTATTAGTGTTGACACTTGTGTTTTTTTTTTAATGCATTTTCTTAAGTTGTTTGAATATAAACCTGTACATATTAGGTATGTAGCCGTCGTTTTTCTGAGGAGTTGTATCAAGCTGTTTTTCTCTGTATGCAATATATCAAAATCTATGGAGTCTTGAACTAATAGAATCTAGTTTTAATATAACTACACCCTTTCAATAGAATGAAGATGGAACGAAGGTTGAGTACAGAGTGTGGAATCCTTTCCGTTCTAAGTTGGCTGCTGCTATTCTTGGAGGCGTGGATGAAATTTGGATTGTAAGTTTTTTAAATAGCATATGACCATATTTATCTTCGATCTTGTTAGTGATTAACTGATTAATCTATAAAGTCATGTTTATCATCATTTCTTTTAACAGAAACCTGGCGCGCGTGTTCTCTACCTTGGAGCTGCATCTGGAACAACTGTCTCCCATGTTTCCGACCTCATTGGTCCTGTAAGTTTTTTTGGTAATCATACTTGTTAGATACAGTGAATGTCGCTGCACTGAGACTGGGGTTGTGAATGTAATTCTTTCTTTCTTTTTTATTTTTAGACTGGGGTTGTCTATGCAGTAGAGTTTTCAAACAGAAGTGGTAGAGATTTGGTGAACATGGCAAAGAAACGTACCAATGTTATTCCCATTATTGAAGATGCCCGACATCCTGCTAAATACAGGATGTTAGTCGGAATGGTTGATGTCATATTTTCTGATGTTGCTCAGCCTGATCAGGTTCTCATTTCGTTCATCTCTGAAATCGAGTTGTGTACTTTATAAAATTTATCCCACCCCCCATTTTACCCAATTTTGACCTCGGTTTAAATTTTTAGATGCCAATTTACCAAACTTTTTTATGGTTTTTCTTTTTTGATTAAGCAAATGATGATTCACTCGGATTCCCCATCAAGACTTACTGGGTGATGTAAACCCGAGTTTCTGATGCGTCATTATTAGAGTACAGTATGTTAATATCTTGTTTGTTCCCAAAACTTTTAATCCGAGTAATCTTGGAGTTTATTTTTAGCTCAAATTTTTGTTCTGTTTTTAGTTTCTTGCTCTGTTTTTGAACTTTATTACCAAACCTTGTTTATGGTTTTCCTTTTTTGATTAAGCAAATGATGATTCACTCGGATTCCCCATCAAGACTTACTGGGTGATGTAAACCCGAGTTTCTGATGCGTCATTATTTGAGTACAGTATGTTAATATCTTATTTGTTCCCAAAACTTTTAATCTGAATAATCTTGGAGTTTCTTTTTAGCTCAAATTTTTCTTCTGTTTTTAGGTTCTTTACCTGATGTTTTTATGTATATTTTTGCTTATATTTTATGGTATAATTTCTAATACATTGACATACTTGATGGTGCTGGATATATATGTATTAACTATGTGTTTCTTTTTTAAAAATTTCTAAAACTTGACAAATCACTGTGCCTCGAAGTATATAGTTTTCTGATATTTATCTCAATTGAAATTCAGCCAACTGACCAAAAATATGGACAAAGTTCACAAATAAAATCAACGCTTGTTCTCAAAGTGGGGCTTATTCATCCTTAATTAAATAAATAAGACCATTAAGTTTTCTTCTGCAAGGGGTGTGTTAGTTATGTTCTAAGGGAAAAAAAATAACGATCCTAATTTAGTGAAAGTACTACCTATCAGATGTGGTATGGTTCTGCTATTGTAATGAAATGTGGCAGCTGAATGCCCCAAATGAGGTTGTGGGTAAAGTGATCCTATTTCTTTGCAATTTCAAATTAGTGTATTATTCATTTTTATGTGAGTTCTAACAACTCTTGAAATTTTATGAATTTAATAAGTTATAGTCTTGTTATTTTCTTTTTGATAGGCAAGGATTTTAGCACTGAATGCCTCTTACTTTTTGAAAGCTGAAGGTCATTTTGTCATATCCATAAAGGTTGGTTTCTTTGGATACTGAGAAGGAAAAATGATGGCAAATCTTTTATTGTGGTTGCGCCTTTGAATCAGCCCACCTCTATTCTCCGTGTTGACTTGCTATGTTTTTCTCAGGCTAACTGCATAGATAGCACTGTACCTGCTGAGGCTGTATTTGCTCAAGAGGTTAAGAAGCTGCAAGCAGATCAATTCAAGCCAAGTGAGCAGGTCACCCTTGAACCCTTCGAGCGTGATCATGCCTGTGTTGTTGGTGGTTACAGGATGCCCAAGAAGCAAAAGCCAACTTCCTAGGTTAGGACTTAGTAGTAGCAAATGTCTTATTTTCAACTCAAACTTGAGGGTTGTTTCAAGTTTTGTATTGCATTATTTTATGCTTAATTAATTAATCTGATCGTACATTTTCACAACATGAATTATGATGTTTTATTAGAACATTTTCGTAGCACATTTGACCCAATGTTCCTCCGTAATGTTCTGTCTGCGAACGTAGTGGATGTATGATTTAGTTTTGTGTAATTTTTATCATGAAGTTTGAATTGTCGTAAACCAGGCGTGAGATTATGAACATGTAACTAGGGGTGGACTGGGCCCAGGTTGGGCCGGGCTCTGGGTCGGGCTAGGGTGGGCTCTGGGTCAAGATTATTCAGGCCCGGTACCTACCTGGGTTAGAATCGGGACCAGGCCGGGTATGAATTAAAATTTTCTATTTTTTTGTGGCTTTTTCGAATTAATTCCAACACCTCCAACCCCACCCCCAAACCCCCCAAATCACCCAGCCCAAGCAACCTAGCAGCTACTCAGGTAGTCCAACCGGAAAAAAAATAAAATAAAAATTATTTGAGCCTGGGCCAGGTTGGGCCGATTCATCATTTAGAAAGCCCATAGTTCGCCCGATTAATGCCCCGGTTAGTGCTGGACTCGGGCCGGTTCGGGCCTGGGCCCGGCCGGGCCTCGGGCCAGGAAAGGGAGGCCCGAGCCCGAACCGCCGGTGGCCGGTTCCGGTCCCGGTTCCGGGCCAAACCGGGCCGGGCCGGGCCGAACCGGCCCAATTTTTTTTTTTTGTTCTCCTATTTAATCCCCTACCCCTCCCCCTCAACCCCAAACCATCCCAAACCACCTCAAATGGCCCAAAATACCTAATCCAACCTAAAACTTAAAAAAATTTCAAAAAAAAAAAAAAAATTAAAATCCGGCCCGGACCGGGCCCGAACTGGCCGGGCCGGTTCACCAAAACCTGGGCCCGGGCCCGAACCGCCCAACAGCCGGGCCGCGCCGAACCGAACCGGCGGACCCACCGGACCCTGGGCCGGGCCAAACAGTAACCGGGCCGGGCCGGTTCCGGTTCCGGGCCGGTTCCGGGCCGGGCCGGTTCCGGGCCGGGCCGGTTCCGGGTCGGGCCGGGCCGGTTCCGGGCCGGGCCGCCCGGCCCGAGTCCAGCACTAGCCCCGGTACAGGTCCCAATCCTGGCTGGCTGGGTCGGGCTGGTACAACACAGTAATGGACCGGGTCAGGTCGAACTGGCCCAGTCCACCCCTACATGTAACAATGCAGAAATTTTGAAAGTTGTCTTAATATCTTTTAAAAAATGGAATACTGATTGTTGTGGACAATTTTAGATGATTCTTGGAATGTGTTCCAAAGAACAATGGCAGGACCGCAGGAGGCTTGTTATTCAAAACCAAACCAAGAGAAAAGCTAAAGAGTTACATAGCCTCTTTAGCACAAATAATGGGAGCACAAATTATTGAAAGATAATAAAAAGTTATAAATTTAATATATTTTTGTAATAATTATTGCACAAATATAAAAAATACTGTAACATTTAAGAAAAAGGGATTTCATTCTGGTGGGCCCCTACCTAATATTCTCCTCTTTGGCTTGTTTTTTTCCCTAAGCCACCACTCATAGTGGCGGTCTCTTATTTTGGTAATTTTGTTTTACGTACACCAAGTTAATAATTATTTAAACGTTTTTCAAGTCTATATTTTCTAATGAAAGAGCATTTTTAACTCATTATCTAAACAGTTTCCAGTAAAAAAAACTAATTATCTAAGCATTTTCCAGTTTATATTTTCTAATGAAAAGAGCCTTATAACTTCTTTTTTAATCATTTTGCTACTATTGTTTCGAAATTGAGGAGTTAAAGCACCTTGAGCATAAGCACGTCAAACAAGACTTTCAGAAAAAATGAAAGACACATTTTGATCACATATTAATAAAACAAAACAGTTAAATGTTTCGCATCATCATAAACGAAATTACTAAAGTGTTGATTATTTGTAAACCTTAATATTTGTGTGTGTCCACTTGTTTTTCAATTTCGCCGCCTCCATGGGATGCCAGACCTTCAAATGTCAATGAGTGCTGCCGTATTCCATCGATGTGCCTAGGGATGGCCTCGGGCCGGTTTGGGCTTGGGCCCGGCCGGGCCTCAGGTCTGTTTTGTTGGGCCCGAGCCCGAACCGGTGGCCACCGGTTACGGGCCGGGCCACCCGGTTAGTTTTTTTTTCATCTCTTTTCTCCCCCCCCCCCCCTCACCCCCCACCCCCCTCACCCCCCAAACCGGTCCTAAACATCAAGCCCAACTCAATAAAGCCCAAAAAATGAAAAAAATGAAAAAAAAAACAGTTTTTGGCCTGGACTCGGGCCCGGCCGGTTCGCCAAAAACTGTAACCGAGCCCGGAACCGCCCAAGCCCCCGGGCCTAGGCCCGAACCGGACCCGGACCCGGACCCGGAAAACCGGGCCGGGCCGGTCCCGCACAGTAGCGGGCCGGGCCGGGCGGCCCGAACCGAGGCCATCACTAGATGTGCCCAAGCTCAATACTTTCTTACAATGTTTGCAAGTTGCATATCACTTGTCATCGACCGGGTTCTTTGCCTTATCAATATGATTTACAAAAAGAAGATTTGGGTTCTTCATCGGGTTGGGATGAACCGACGCCATCTTCCGCCTCCTCATCGGGAGTTTCCTTGTCGCCTTGTTCCTTTGCAACTGTCACCGGCTCCTCCTTCTCCTCATCGTCATCCCCGACCTCTTCGTCAATATCAGGAATGTCTTTTTGTTGGTAAAACCGGTCATGTCCTTGGGCCAACAGTTGAGCGAGTTGCTCGTCGGACATCGCATCTCTCTATAAGTAATCTATATAAAAACCATCTCGGTTTTGAGAAGAAGACTTGACATGTCCTTTACCTTTGCTTATGAAGAAGGATGTCCTTTCACAATCTCATTCTTTCGGTTGCGTTGAAGGTTACCCAAATCTACATAATGTTTAGATTGCGACGTATTAAAATGTAACAAATATTAAATTGTAACAAATATTAAAATATGAGTACAATTAAAATGCAACTAATATTAAAATGTAACTAAAATGTGAGTTCAATACTAAAATGTAACTAATATTAAAATGATATTAAAATGTGAGTTTAATATCAAAATGTAACTAAAATGTGAGTTGTATATTAAAATGTAACTAAAATTAGAATGTAACTAATATGGGAATAATGTAATATGAGAATGTAAGAAATATTACAATGTCACTAATATTTAAAAGCAACTAATATTCAAATGTGGGAAAATATGACAAGTATAGTGTTGAAGTTTATTCCTTCAACCCTTGGACCCAACACGTAAGCCCAAAGATTTCGAGTGGAGTGAGTGTAAGAATGTCTAGCCCAACAACTATCAGATGGATCAGGAAAACAAGAGTGATAGCAGGCAATGTAAATAGGTATTATTAACTTCGTAATAACTCCCCTAAGTACAATCTACTTGCTAAAAAAGGCATGTCGGCCGTTCGTCTTACGAGGCAGTTAGAAATGCTGTCAGTAAGAATGCTGAAGCTAGTATGCTAAGAATAGAAAGTTGCCAACCCTTTACAATGAAATAAATGCTTCTATTTATACCCGCCAATGGGCAGGTAGCTATGCTGACGTGGAAGCCTGTGGACCGCTTGTGTCCCAACCACCAAATCTTCAGCATTAAATGCACTTCCCGCCAGAATCTAGGTTTCCCGCCTAATCAGTGGGGACGTTCGTCCGCCCGGGAAGTGAGTTGGATCGCCCCAAGTGACCCTCAGGAGATACCGGCTGTTCGTCTCCTGGCCTTGTAGATATTCACCATGTGGGCTGGGTTTCCTCCGATGACTACAGGCTTGCCCCGGAGACGTTCGTCGCCATCCCTGGTGGCCCGTGGTTCTGCTCCTTGTCCCTGCACAGACGTTCGTCTGGATGAGCCGCTGGGCCTGAGCCCCCGACACCAGACGTTCGTCCATCCTCAAGGAACATGGGCCTGTGGGCGGGCCTGGTGTTCTAACTGGACGTGCGTCTGGCAAAATGGGTTAGTGGGCCGGACCTCGGCTTGGGCCCTTAACCCAACACAAGTCCCCCACTTCTGATGTTCTGGGCTCGCGCAGGACATAAGGAAGTAGGAATCCCCTCAAGATAGACGTTCGTGTCTTGGTACTTGTGTTCTCTGCACCCGTTGGAAGCGTACGCTCGTGGTCATGGTGCTTGGCAGCTGTCGACGGTTCAGGAAACAAGGTGACGGCTGATGTTGCGGCGGAGCATTTCCCGAGGAAATGTCATCATTACGCTTTCGCCCCACGCACAGCGCGTGGGTCGGAATACGCTCCTTGCCACGTGTCAGCCCCTCGTTGGTTTCCCTATCGGTGTTTTTCCTATAAATGCCGGGTTTTCCCTCTGAATTAGGGTTCCCAATTTCTGCTCTCTTGCTTTCGACTTTCCGCAGCTCTTCAAGTCTTCTTCCCCGCTTCTGAATTCGGCTAACCCCCTTGTAAGGTAATTTCCCCCCTCTGATTCTTTTCTTTGTTCTGATTCCTAGCCGAAATGACTTCAATGGAGATCTCGTCAAGCTCTGGCTCCGGTTCATCAGGTTCCTCTTCAGGTTCCTCTTCTGACAATGCGAATGCGCGCTCCCTGGGAAAAGCTAGTGTTTCCGGAACTTCAGGTTCGGCCACGACGGTGGGAACCATCCGGGCTGATGGTGAGCCGGGTGGCGCTTCCCAAGGTAGTGGGAGCGGCGCCAGGGATGGGGATGCCGACGACGCAGTGGACGTTATTGACACGGTCCCCCTGAATGAGCGCCCCGCCGATTATGACTCCGGGGAAGAAGCCGAATCAGGCTCTGACATGGAGGTACATGACCTGGGCATCCCCACGGACATGGAGCGCCACATCTGTCCGATCAGAAGCGCCCTTGACCATGATCAGGTCCTCTCCCGCGTTGCCCTAAACAAAATCCGCACTTTCTTCCCCCCGCCGTTCGTCTGGAGCGTGAGAGGCGCCGAGCACGTGATGAGGCGACGCCCGGGGATGATCATGCTTCACCTGGATTCCGTTGAAGCTGGGCTGCGGTTTCCACTTCATGCGTTCTATGTGGAGTTCTTCCACTGTTTCCAGGTGGCCCCGGCGCAATTCATGCCGAACTCCTATAGTTTCATATCAGCCTTCCTGGTGCGCTGCAAGCTTGCGGGAGTCACTGCTACTTTGGACCTGTTTCACTATTTCTACCGCGTTACTCCCCAGAACGCCG